CTCTCATATGTATATGAACGTAAAGCAAACCAAGAAGATGCATATCGCTAAGGAAAAACCTATGGGATCAACGTACTTAATATCTGAATCTGCCGATAATTGAACTACAGGACCAATATGATCACTGGTGAACCAGTCAGACTTGTCAATAGCGTTCAGATATGTGGGCTTTTTATGGGTGTATATAAAACCCTTTTTGTTTTTCATCCGGATGTTAGTAAATAAAAGGAAACAGTATGCATTATTGTCTACTATTCCTGTCATTGTTTGCAAACTGCATGTAGAACTAGAAGTGCATGCACACTAGCATAAAATTGCTATTCACTAAAACCACATAATTTCAAATACATATTACTCTCCAAGTGAGTCTACACTACTTGTGCTTGCAAGCACGCATACGGACTGCACGCAGCTGAACAAAATTCTAATATCTAACTATGCATAAGGTTTTAGTCTAGGCAACATAAGATTATAACTTCACCATTATAGTTTATCTTCAATTGCTCGCGTAAAAATTTAACTTTCATAATCAATTTAAAACCAACATGAGCTTTATGGTTACATTATTCACCTCCTATGCTACATTGTAGCAAATCCAGCTTTTCCTGTTGGGAATATAGAAACTTGACATGAACATAAAAATAACATATAAACACCAAAACCGCAAGTCTATGTCCCCGTGGAAGGGAAAATTTCACTTCTAACTAGCTCGAAAGATCATAATGTGCCACCAATTAGGCCCAATTTGCTTCGTGTTAAAGAAATATAACTACTTCGTTAAAGTTTTATACTTTTGCTTTCATTTTCCATTATTGTGGCATTGACTTGCAATTTTGCATTTCTTGGAATATTTGTAAAAGGAAATAATTGAGCTCAGCCAACCAATTTTGTAGTGATGCTTCCAAATTTTACAAGATTTACTTCATAATATATTTTCACATTTATAACTCTAAACTGAATTAATTAGCAATAAATAAACTGAATTAACTAACAAACACTACCAAAAAAAAACTTCAGCTTTGAAATCCCATAAGAATTATTACCAACCCAATTGAAAGTAATCAAATTCAAAAACCAAGAAACCAAAATCCACAATCAAAAGCACGTACTTACCCCATCAAATTAATCCGAAGGCGAGCACTCAATTCGACGAAAAGCTCGAACATCTGCCCCAAATCAGCAGCATTTCCATGGGAGTAAAGCATAGTTGCAGAGGCCTTGGGGTGCTTGACGTGTACGGCCACGATTTCATTCCCCCGGCGATTCCTGAGCTTCAGCACATCCACGTCGTCCCTCCTCGGCACCTCCGGAATGTGGAGCCTCCCTCCACACGACTCGTCGGCGACGACTGTGTACGACGGCGGACTCGGCGGGAAAAAAGCGAACTTGGCTGCGATCGAAGAGGTCACTCCGCCCATCTTATTGTCCTTCTCATCACAGGCGCCAGGCGGCAACCGAAATATCAGAGGCCCCTAACGCACACCCTTGGATCGATCTCGCCTCAAACAGACGTAGACACAAGAGCGCGACAGAAGCACGTGATTGCTGACTAGTGGCGCCGCGTGGAGGTTGAAGGCGGTAGCGCGTGGGAAATTGGACGGAGAGAGAACGCCTGAAAATTGGCCGAGGAAATCACTTAGTCGTCTTTTGAAGTGCTCGGAGTCTTTCGAAATTTTCCTTTTAACTTTTGAATTGTATGGTTTTTAGGACGGCGACTTTATATGAATGTCTAGTCTGACAGAATGGGATAAGATAATTAGGGTAGGGAGGTGGGGCCTAAATGGGAAGGCCGAATCGCTGTTTATTGCTGTGTGGGGTCTACCGAGTGTTCGATGATTTGTATGGCTGACGTGGAGTTTGGTTCCGGGACGTGTCGTCTAGTGGAAGAGTCACGTGGTCACTGCTGGGCGACAAGAAATATTACATTGTGACGAAAACATAAGTAGTACATCACGTGTTTTTATATAAGTGGTAAGAAATTGCATTTTTTAAATTATTAATTTTTTAGCACACATTACTCACCATTAATATAATAACATATAATGTACCACTCCGTGTTTCAATCACACTAAAAAATATCTCATCAGCGACGTCAAAAGTATAGAGGGGACTCGCTGACTGCATGTGGTATGTCGTTATGTTAGTGGGATCTTTGGGCAAAATTGTAAATCACTCTAATTTACTACAAGAGGATTTGTACTCGCTCGTAATCATTGTGAATACTGAATACTGATTGTCATGTCTATCACTATTTACAAAAAAGAAATATTTTTTTAAATGAGGTTCTTCTTAAATTTTATGTTAATTTGTATAACCTCAATTCATGTGTTAATATTATAAAATATTATGTCGAAATATGAAATGAATTAATCTTTGCTCTAAAGAGACAAAGACCCTACCAAAAGTTAATTGGACTAACCGTTAATTTGGTATTGCTGTTACTTTGCGTATAAGTTGTTTTTGTTGTATTTTTAAAATAATCAGTTGTAAAGAAAAATAGTGAAGAGTTTGATAAATTATATTTTTTTGTACTATTATTGTTAAGAGGAATTGAAAGTTTGAAACTATTATAATAATTTAGAAGAATAAAAGTTTTGAATCCGAAACCGAAGCGTATGTGTTGAAAATCTAATGGTCCAAGAATCACAATACAAGGTTATGATGACAATGTCAAATGTGCGATCAAAACTATATGAAAGGAACACAAATCGATCTGAATTTTTAATGTGTTGTATTGTTGTCAACGAACACTAGTTCAGTTCAGCCACATGAGCCTGACCTCTTGGAAAATAATAGGTAAGGCCCAAATTGACGAAGTTTACTAGGCCCTCGTGTCCTTTCTCAGGCCAGAAAGAAAAGGTTGGGTCCTTTCAAATCTTAACAAGCCAAGTAGCTCCTCACCTTTGTTTCTTAATTTATAATTAAGGACATGATTCAAATGATTATCCTCTGGCATTTTGTGTTCCAAATCATGATTCAGTTTGCAAGCATTTGGAGCACAACAGTGAAAAAATGCACGCAAATTTGCCCACTAAAGATGTCTCGGGCCCAATGGTCTATGCACTTGACAATTGAACCTCTCTGAACATCAACACATGCAAGCCAAAGGAGACGGTCTTTTAATTAAAAATTATTTACTTCCCTGATTTCTTCGTCCAAACCTTGTCCTTGCTTCTTCAATGATCCAACCCTACACACTACTATTAGTAGAAAAAATAAACGGATACGATTAAGTTGAGAAAATATTATTTATGCTTACTTGTCAATTTAATGGATATAAAGTTGAACTATCCAGTAATTCGAACTAAAACTTACCCCTCATTTACTTCCAAAATAAACAAGAACAATGTTTTATTATGCAAGTGGTGGATTGTCCTGATAGTTAGAGTCTTACTCTTCAACCTATTATATTCAGCATTCAAACCCTCTTGTTGAGAGTATGAATCCACATCAAGAAAAGAATGGACATTACACGTGCTTTTAATCTTATAAATTTGTTTTATAAATAAACGATATTATCTACACTAAGGGGAAGAGGGGTGAACTTAGCCTCCAATGAGTTAGCAATAATGTAGTTCAAATTCGCCTTTGGCGAGAATCAAACCTAAGACATCTCACTTACAAGTAAAGAGAAATATCATTAGATCGTAGTACGAAATGGCTATAATCTTATAATTTAGCTTTATGTGTAAAACGCAACACATTCACCGTCACATTGGCGTTTTAGTCTAGTAATGCATTATCACTGAAAACATTAATTTCCTATAGCAAGTAACAAGAGAACATGTGTACAAAGTAAATTTGTATTAGTGAATTTTTAGGGTTACAATCTCTGTTTACAAGTTTTCTCTTATGTCTTATTCGATCTCCAAAAGATGTGTGGATGAGTAGGTTGTTGATCCAAGGGTCGCGATGACTTAAGCTCAGATAAATGGTTGCTGCAAGGTTTTGGCTCTTGGTGATTTGAAGGATTGACACAAGTAGTAGTGCTTGATGATTCTTCGAATGTTTGGTGAAAAACACAGAGAACTTTCTAAATTATTGTATTTGGGTGCTTAAGCTTTGACAACATCTAGGTGCTTGAATGATTTCTAGATCCCTTTCCTTTGCCTTGGGGCCTTGTATTTATAGACTTTCCAAGCATTGCCTATGGATGGATTTGAACTTCTTGTGGGTTGGTTCGTGATTTACTTCCATTAATTAATCAATAAATCAATTATTTAATTTAAATAAAATCAAATAATCAATCTTGCTCAATTTGACATTTCTATGTGCTTTAATTTAAATTAATTAATTTGTTTAATCTAAATTAAAATCAAATATTAATTTCCGCCAATCGTTGACATGTATTCTTGATGACTTGTTTGGTCCTGATGAGTAACATGCCACAGAAGCTCCTTGCATGTCAAAATTTAATGTGTTCTGTGATAATTTATTTTTACTGAAATTTGCATGTCTACAATCACTTGAAGAGAAATTACACATAAAAATACATTGTTCGGCCGAACATCATATAATGATAAACTCGTTTTATATAAATCATTCTATTATGAAATGATTCTATTTTAAGTGCAAAAAGACACAGACCAATTGGCCAAACTCCTTTGCAATAAAAATATTATTACACCACAAGAAAATTCCACAAACCCACCATGCTTTTAATGATAAGATCTTGACGTACATCTAAATCTAAATGATAAGATGCGCAGATGACGCTAACATGCGCGGCACGTTCCGCGACTGGTTTCGCCGCAAAGGCCAGGCCCGACGTATCGTGGTCGGTACGCTTCTCGTTAACAGTAGCAACTGCGAGCGCACATTAGCCTTGAGCGGCGCCAAAATCCGTTGCCACCAAACATTATATATGAATCTAAATTTCTTATTTCGGAAAACAAATTTAATTTCTTATTTACTATTTATATTAAAATTAAAAATTAAAAAAAACTAACATATTAAAGATTACACTCCAGACTCCAGACTCCAGACTCCAGACTCCAGACTCCAGAGTACCAAAAATTCATATTTTCCAAAAAAAAAAAAAAAAAAAAAAGGAATTATCCGTACATTCACAGAAAATTGAGCTACTCGGGGATGGTAACCAGAACAGGCCGCCAAGCTCGTTTCAGTAACCTATTTCGAAACGACGCCGTTATTGGCCGAAGCGACAAGCCTGCGCCTCGCTGAGTCGGAATCTCACCGGCACCATCACCACTTCCGGTTGCCGATAACAACCCTCGTCCTTCTCCTTCGTCCCCAATTCCTCCACTCCTCCTATCCGAAATCCTATCTTCGAACGGCGGCGACGACACGAAGAGGTCCTTCAGCTTGCGCCGAACCCGAGCGACCTCCTTGCTCTTCTGCGGCGAATCACCGTTGCGATTGTCACCGTCAATGGGTGGAGATTCCGAGGAATTGGTTTGGCGAGGCAATCGGCGGCGATCCTGGCGGGTGAGGAACATTCTTAGCGTCTTGCGGCGGCGGAGGTGGATGACTGGGCTGGCCGATGGGCTTCGCGTTGGGCTTCCGGCGACGGCACATTGAGTCGCTAAGAGCTTGAATTTCTGCAGTGTCGCCATGGGAAACGATCAGTCGGTGGTGTACAAAATTCACGATGGATGATTCAGTGGATAGAAATCATTGGGTGGTGGTGGAGTGGAGAGAAGCTGAGATCTGATCTGGGGAGTGGTGGGATTGCTTTATTCACTGTTTGGAGTGAGCAAATGGAGCTGAAAAATGCATTTTTTTTTTGTTTTTATTTATTTGTTTTTGGTGGGGAGAGGAGGGTGGAATAAGGACAGGGATGAAGTGGAATGTGGGGTGCTGCTTTTAAAAAACAAGTGAGGAAAACGGCTTTATGGATGCCTTCTCTAACTTTTTCTTTAGACTTTACTACTTGGAAGTAAATAAGTAAATATATCATTTTATATCCGTAAACGACGAGTTTAATGTCAAATATTATATTTAACCTACCATGCAACTTAGCAATTTGCACATATATCAAACACCTCAGTGTAAATTTGTCCACCTAATAAAAAAAACTGGCATTTTTGCACGTGCATACGTTTGTTTAAAAGGCTTTTTTTTATTTTTTTTATTTACAAGCGCTACTTGTTCTCTTTGTCTCTAGAATTTTCACTTCAGCTAATATTTTGCAAGACATGAAATACCATAAATTGATTTTTATAATGTTGATATCAGCTTAATCAAGGATACCAACTTGATGACCGTGAAAATTTTGAAAAATGCTACTTGCAAAGAAGCAATCCTTCTGTGTCAATTAGGAATTGACTTTCTATGAGACTATTGGCTAGTTTAATTGTAAGTCAGCATGTGTTTTGGTATACTTGAGATCATTTTGTTAAGTAAGGTGCCATGGTGTGGGGTTGTCGAGAAGGAGTAGGTTTTAGGATGATGAAGGTGGTGCTGGTTTGGATTCTTTGTTTTTATCTAATTTAAATTAGGGTAGTAAAGGAAATTCAGACCAAATAAAAGAAAATGGGATGTATTCGTAACATTGTAGGGTGCCAATAAAAAATGCCCTAATATATTGTTTTTGGGGGTTTTTTTAGTTAACAAAGAGAATTTTGTTGATTGATAGTTTAAATTAGTATTTTATTTTCTCTGTTTTCTTACAAAAATACCCTTGGGTATCATAAATCTATTTTTTAAAGCCAGTTATGACTTTTCAAGTTTGAGGGGCGTTCTAGTCCAATTGCTTTGTCAAATCCTTCACCAAACCCAGACCGACTTCATAAAAACTTTTTCTTGACCTGGGCTTGTTCGGCGCCTAGGGGTCCTATGGGCTGCAGGCCAGCTGTGCTTACAAGTGGCACGCTGTGATGAAATATTTGGCTTCACGTTAGGTACGAGACAAGAGTGAAGTCAAGAAGAGAAGGTATGGGGAAATGAGGTTTGTTGTTATTTGATTGCCGGATTTGATGAAATTTGAATTTGATATTGTTTTCTTTGTAATTCTGTTATTGCCTAGTGGATGATGATGGAAATTGAAGGGAGAGTTGAACCCCAAATTTGAGTTTTGTTGTGTTTCAACTATATTTTAGTTTTGCTGTAATCTATGAGGCGTTTTTATCTTCTCCACTTTGTTATGTATGTAGAAATTAACTTAGCTCCATAATTGTTGAGGAGGAGTTCCTCCTCATTTTATTTCCTAGGGTCGATTCACGGAATTTTAAGTTTATGATCCAAACTGTTAATCTTATAAATCACTCTATAAAGATTTCTACCACTTGTAAATGTAAAGATAAAAACACTTAAAAATACTTGCAAGAGAACAAGGTAGTTGTAGTATAAACGGCTCAAGCAAAATCGTTTTCCACAGGGATTGAATGAATTATTTGTATTTAAAACCAAGTCTTAATTAATTATTTAAAATAAAGTTTAGAAAATGTTGATTTTGGAATTTAAAATAATAAAAACAATTAAATAAATCAACTAGAAAACAATTTAAAGAAACACTAGGGTTCTGTCGTTACCTTAACAATCCTAAGCAGTTCTTCCAATTACTTATGAATTATCCATGCATATATTGAAGGTTAGGGTTTCCTAATATATATCCTACTTGGAACCTCCAATATAGAACATATATCTAACATGCAACCCGTTCGGACGTTTGAATCAAATATGAACATGAAAGACTCATTAAGTTTTATGAAAACCCTTTGAAAAACCATGCAACCCTTAAAACGTGGTGTTCATCCTAAGTGAAATTATAATTATTAACCACAAGAAGCCATCGCCAATTTCAGGGAACCTTCCGACCAAAAGTGCATCAAATTACTTTTCTAAATATCTTAATGGTCACGAATCACTAAGACACTTAGATAGTTTAAAACGGTGATTAATAATTCAAAACATGCATATCATAAGTAAATTGAAAAGAAACTAAATATTCTTGATAAGCCTCGTGGCCTTGCCCTAGCAAAAGAAACTAGTTACGAACAATCATAAAACCAAATTTATTAAAAACATGGAAATAAAACACCTTGAAAATAAACTTCAAAAGCTCTCTAAAGTAGTGCGCGTGTTCTCCTCCTTTTTTTTTCTCTAATGGCTAAATAGCCTTATTTATACTATTACAAAATAAAACCCTACCTAGAAATGTCTTAAAATAAAACGAGGAAACATAATAAAATAATAAAACAGAAAATAAGAGGTTTCCTATTTGAACTAAAATTCGGACTTTTCAGAAAATCAGACTTTTGACTGACCAAATCAACTTCGATTTGGTCCCAAAAGGTCTATTTTGAAAGCTTAAGTCATCCCCAACAATTTTTTAGAAAGAATCTTCCTCAAAATATGCAATCTTGACTTCCAAAATACCCAAAACGTCAAAAAGTCAATCTAGGAAAGCTACGCACTTGACCTTTATTTCATTGACACGGTCAAACGGTTTAGTAGAAAAATCTGAAACTTTGATACAATTATCTTGAAAGACTTACAAACATCTTCCAATTAGAATCACTCCAAAATTCATCTATTTGGTTACTTTATGTTCAAGAAGAAATCAAAAGTCCTACATTAAGAATATAAATCAAGGTATCAAATTCTTCTAAAATAATAACCAAAATAAACTAAGATTAGGGTAATATATATAATATAATATTGATTCATCAATCATCTTTGCAAACAAAAAAAAATCAATAAAGTATGAGACCATAGTCATAAAATAAATAATAAATAAATAAAAAAATGGCTCTAAAGTTTCTTGGTTTTCAACATTTGGTATATGAAGTTTTTTTCGTCCCAGTCTAGACCCTAAAGTTATAATTCTGGGACCCTTTCATACATCCGTTAAGTTTTCCGTTGGAATTTCTATTAACTGATGATGTGCCGCCCACGTGGACAATAACTGGGCGCCATGTGTCAATATGGGCCCACTTGAATATTAAAAAAAATTAAAAACCATTAAAAAAAAAAGTACCCACCGGTCTTCTACCTCCCCCAACCCCCTCCTTACTTTCCTCTGCAACCCACATCCTCCCATCTCTTATCTGTAACCTTCACCGACCATCCCTTCTCTCCTCTGCAACCCGCACCACCCTCCCTTATCTCCTCTGCAACCCATACTCACCTCTCCTACCTCACCTCACCCCCGCTCTCTCATTTCTTTCCTCTGCGCCCACCCAACACTCTATACCCGACCTATCTCCATCCTCTTCACCTCCCCTCCCTTATTTCTCCTCCATCCTCTTCACCTTCACCCTTTGCAGAAACCCTAATCCCAAAAATCTAAATAGCACAAATTCGAAATTCAATCAGGTGCAGCTATGGTTCGCGAGCCACTAGAGGAGAGAAAAGAACCATGTTATGAACCCGATTTGTAATTGATGTTTATGCTTTAATTAAGAGTCCAATTAGTTGTAATTGAGGGTTTTAATTTTTATTAGGGGAATTGTGACAACCCGTCCCAAATTTTATTATTTTATAAATCTTGAAATATGAAATTTACGAGAATACCCTAGAGGCGAGGGTATTGATTTTCGTTGATCGTTAGTTTATGACGCGTATGACCTATTACCTTACCGTATTCCAATAGTACGTTGGTAAGGATTGTTATTTATTACCTTATTTATTTATTATTATTATTATTTATGTAAAGGGTTGTGGGAGAAAAAAGAAGAGAAAGAGAATGAGAGGAAGGAGATGGGCACTGCCCAATCAGAAATGAGGAGAGAGGGAGAGTGACGAATGGGAGAGAAGAACCATGAGGGAAAGGAGAGAAGAACCATGAGGGAACCTAAAACGGGTCTTCCTTGACTTGTGTGACCTGGCCAAATTTTGGTGAATTAAGCCAAACCATCACCTGGAAACACCTCCCTAGCATTCTCTCTACCATTTTTACCCCTAAATTCATACAATTTGACCTTAGATTCGGGAGAAATGCACTGGTGGTGCATGTGGGTGTTCGACGGTAATCCATAAATCGTGAAGCTAACTCAGCCAATTGTCACTACTAATAGGCTCCCCTCAACCTCAGGAACAAAGCCCAAGCGATGGTAGGGGCATCGGAGCATCCATGGAGTTGAATCGAAAATACCCAAAAACTAGGGTTCTGGCGGGTTTTCATGAAATTGGAGCCTTTCCAAGCCAAATTGGCCTTGGCCACAGGTATAAAGTTTGCTCTGCTCTTCGAGATCTACATTTCCATAATTTTTGAGAATTTTTAGAAATAATTGAATTTTCCGACGAGTCAGGGCGGTTGACCGCCATCCACGGTGGCACGTGGCCAGGGGGTCGCCAATGCTATTTTTAGGCTATTTTAAATGTCTTGAATTCAGTTTTGATACTTGAATGACGTAGGTTGATCGTTGGAACCTAAATTCTCTACGATACGTTATTAAGTATTCAGGTGAATCCACAATCCGACCGTTGGATCGTCACCAAACTTTGTTACATTGTAGTACGTAATATTTGAAGAATGTAGGATTTTACATATTGGGAATCCGACATACGGATCTTCCCAAATTGGATTTGTAAGTTCATAAAATAAAACGTTAACTGCTAATCAGTTTTGGAAATTGGCGAAGATCCAACCGTTGGATCGTAATGAAACTTAAGTATGTTGTTCTAGAAGAATATTGTGTATCATGAGAAGTTACGAATCGGAAATCTGAGATGCGTATCTTCCGGGTCGAGTTTTACAGGGTTGTGGACCCAACTGTCGATCGAAGATCGACGGTGGACTCTTAGTCAATGGATCTCAAATTATTCTTGAAGGTCCTTGAGGTTATGTTTTATGTAAATTATGTGCTCTATTAGTAAGAACTTTGAGTCATGATTTGATAATTGGCCGCATGTGACGATAGTTCGTGATGTCTCAATGTTCGTGCGAGGGAATCGTAGCGCGAACCTAAGGTGAGTAGGTCTTTTCTCTTCTATCATATATATATATATACATATATAAGATTGACATCTCCACAAATGTTTATAAATTGATTATTGCATATAATTACTGTGAATGCTTTGAAGTACTAATGTGAACTACGAATGACTTGATCCCTGTTTAGGGTATGTATTGACACGTGGTACCAAATTATTGTCCACGTGAGTGCCACATCATTAGTTAACATAAATTCTAACGGAAAATTTAACTGATGTATGAAAGTGTCCCAAAATTGTAACTTTAGGTACCTGACTGGGACTAAAAAAACTTCATGTATCAAATGTTGAAAACCAAGAAACTTCAGGGTAGTAAACTGTGATTAACCTCTAAAAAAATTAGAATTTGGTAAAAGCATTATGAACCGTCTATCTATTTTGTTACCGTTGATTGACTAAAAGACCTTAGTTATAATTGATTTTTGTAGAGATGATTTTTACAAAATGATTTATGATATAAATGGTTTCAATTGTAAATACGAAGTTCTGTCAATCGAATACAAAGTAAATTGAGGAAGAATTCTTCCTCAATCTTAAGGAGCCAAGCTTCTCTTATGTATAGTTAGGATCCGGGACCACATATTTTAACACATATGTTTATGTAAGTGCTTTAAGCCTCTGATGATTCTACTTCACAAAAAGATCATGTAAGACCATAAAAGATGGTGGAGGACTCATGCATGCATATAAAAAAGAATATCCATAGAGATACAATTAATGAAAACTAGTAGCTTGGAGAGTTATTGCCCTTGGGTCAAGGATGTGCCAGGTTGCCATTCTTGAAGGTAGGACTTAAAAGTCTTGGTACAATATATACCATTTGCCGCTTTGGTCTTGTTTTGGTGCACCACAGGATTGAAGGGCACGATGGAAGTAGTTGCTTACTTCCTCCTGTTGTGAAGCCTCAAACTCCGGTGCTCTTCCGATGTGTGCGATGTCATCTTTGAAGGTAAGTTCGACATTCTCCTTGAATTAGTCAGTGTCGTATTTGAATACTCATTTACCATAAAACTTGTTCCCCACCACCTACCACTCCTTACATCACCACCACAATTACCACCTTCATTGTTGTCGCTGCCACCAACACTACCACAAACACAACTGCTACTACAACTACAACCACTATCAACGCTATCACCAACCACCACAATCAACTATTGGTAAAACCACCCTACTCCACAATTATCGCAACACCATTGTTGCTCGGAACCACGGCTACTATCGTGATTGCCGCCACAATTATCACAACACCATTGCTGCCCACAACCCACGGCTACCATCGCGATCGCCTCCACCTTCACAACTGTGACCATCAACCTTACACCTTGGCGCCATCACCTCAACCATCATTGCTACCGCTAACGATGTCGCCGTCACCACAACGATCGCTGCCACCACTGCTACCACAGCCTATTATTGGCACCATCATCATACTCCCATCATTGCCTGCCACTGCCCCTCCCACATCTATCTTTCTATACTAAAAATTTACCAAATAATTTTACAATATTTTTCATGCTCACAACACTTTTAGAAATACGATTTATTAAACCCTCAACTATTTTATTTTATGACATCATTTTTAAAGCACTTCAAAAACAGCTTTTTAAAAAACACGGCAATCTCAAGCTAGCTCTTAGAGTGGTCTTGAGGGTGGCTTCTTTCTCGCAGGTAAGCAAGGGGCAATCTCGTCTATTTGGGTGTTTCCCGCCCACATGTAATATTCTCATTGGGTGATATTTTTAGTTACCAAACTTGCCTATATCTATGACCCAAATAAGAAACGAATGTTCAAGTATATCACTTTTGTTGTTGTTCAATTATTTATGAAGTGTAAAAATAAATATTAGTTGATTGTGTATATAAAAATGTAACATAATTGTATAGTACATTAAATTGACTCTTAATTAAATCTCCAGAACAAACCGCGACCCAAAATGCCGTACCATTCAAGTTCATCCCTGTCGTACCGTGTAATGAAGAAAGTACACTGTACTGTGTCACCGTGTACCAAGTTAGTCTCCAATCCGGCAGTAACATTAGTGTTGTGGCACCCTAGAATTTCAAGTTACCAAGCAATCCCACGATCTGGAGGATAGAAGCAGCTAGAGTGCTCTCCCCAGCATGACCTGGGTTAAATAGTTCTGTCCCATCTCTTAAAAACCTGTTGAGGTTAAAAAAGAAAATAAAAAGTTAAAATTGGATTTTGGGAATGCCAAAAATATCATTTAATCTTAAACAATGAGAATTACTGAAAGAAAAAAAAATCATATTTATCCGACAAAAAAAATCATTTTTAAAGGAATGAATATCAAAAAAATCGTGAATTTTATTTTTTGACAAATGATATTACACTAAATTCATCTAAATTATAGAGAAGAGATTCAAATTCGGATGTGGAAGGTAGAGCATACTACTTCAGACAACTTAACTAAACTGAGATATGTAAAGCTGATAAGAGAATAAGTAAAAAGCTTCATATATTTATGTACATTGGCTGCCTAGCATGCACCAAATAGTGATGATGCTTCTCCAAAGTATCTTGCATCAACATCAAAAGAAAACCAACCGGCAATATAGAAAGACATTCAAGTTTTAACTTCTGCTTATGAGTGTTTACAATACTTTCTACCATCTATTTTAGAACTGAAGGCTGAAGCTCACTGAAAAAAAAAAAGGAAGGAGGATATGGAAATCTCTACTTCTAAAAGGAACTAGGTGTGGTAGAGCCGCTAACCAATTTATCAGCTCCATTCGAGTCCGGTGAAAGCGGGGGTGGCATATTCCTCAAAAGTCCAACCTCGTCTGATCGAATATCCAGCACCACTGCTTCGCCGTTTTCTGAACCAAGATCTTCGTTTTGGACTGCTTTCAAACCCTCCAACACTTCGTCCATGGTTGGTCGCATATCCCTCTCCTGTTGCAAACACCGGAACGCCAATTCTGCCACAGCTGTTGTCATTTGCCTAACAGAGTAGTTTGTTTCATACCCAAGATGAGGATCCACCAGCTCATTCACTAAATGGTTTTGGATTTTGTTGACAGCCAGGTTGGCCAAATTTATGTCATGACGGTGCCTGTTGGTGTCCACGGCTTGTAAAGACGATAAAAGCTCGATCAAGACCACCCCAAAGCTATATACGTCACTCTTGTCTGTGAGTTGATAGCACTGGTAATACTCAGGATCGACATAGCCGGGAGTCCCTTGCGGAGCGGTTGACACATGGGTGACATCGTTGGGGAACAATCTCGACAGACCGAAATCAGCCACTTTCACGCAAAAGTCGTTGTCTATGAGAATATTGTTGGTCTTGACATCACGGTGTATAACATCATTGCGATGGAGGAAAGCCAGTGCATCAGCTGTCTCTATGGCGATGCTCAATCGAACAGGCCAACTAAGACAGCCGGATTCCACTCGTTTCCCATGGAGATGGTCAGCCACTGTTCCATTAGGAATATACTCATAAACAAGGAGGAGTTCTCGGCTGCGTCTTGAGGTGCATCCATACAGCTTGACAAGGTTTCGGTGTTCAAGACGAGTTAAGATCTCGACCTCATTCATAAACTGCTCCACACGTTTGAAATTGTTTTCATAAAGGCGCTTCACAGCCACTACGCGGCCATCATGTAGCTTACCTGGTCAAACAATTACAAGAACATTTAACCAAATAAAACCAAGATTATCTGTTTGTGAGCTAAATTGCTTGCAAAGATGGAAAAGAAAGTATTTTCGAACCATAGTATACAGTGCCAAAGCCTCCATCTCCAAGCTCTTTAGCGGGGTTGAAATTTTCAGTGGCTTCCTCTAATTCATTATAGCTGAAGACCTGAACTCCAAAGTAAGTACTCCCCTTATTATCGTAGTCAGACTTGCAGGTAAAAGAGGGATAAGACGGGATACTCTGAAATTGGGAGAGATCAGTCGAGGGAGTAGCAACACCCTTGCTAGTAAGGGGTGTAGGAAGCTCTTTGCTTTGAGTCTGTGCAGCAAGTTTCTTCTTCTTGCGTTGGATGAAATAATATACATAGAACCCTACGAAAACGCCGAAAAGAATTGCACCTCCTACAGCAAGACCTGAAGATGAAATAAAATATTGTTTAGATTTTCATCTCCGTCCCATGATGCCATTGGAAACATTGCAATAAGTTAATGAAGTGATATATTACCTATTTTGATTTGCGGCTTATTTCCTGAAATAGCCAAACAGATTCAAAAGTTAATAGAAAGAACATCATCTTATCCAAACTTGAATTGGAAGTTAGGAATCCATGCAGGAATTTAACAAACTGTAGATACAACTTGTGTCAATATTTGACTTCTACAAATGAAAAGACAAGAAATTGGATACAAGAATGATACCAAAACACACTCTAAAGCGTGATACCAAGTCAAGAAGGCTCCTCGTTTTGTGAGGTCGGGGAAAATACCAAAACACAGTAAATTTTCAAATTTGGGCACTCCAAGCACAACCTAAAACTTGCCCAAAACTACTAGAAGTAAACTCTACAATACCCAGAAAAAGAAATACCTGCTGGGTTACAGACTCGATTGCCGCAAATGCAAACGGGTCGGTTCTTATCCGAGTCAAACCCGCAAAGCCCATTGACATTGAGACACTTAGCGCACTGCTTCTCGTACGGGTTGGTATAATTGACATTGAAGCCGGTCATGATCGCCTCTCCAAACAGAGACCGGTTGGCGACCAGCACCGCCGCCGTGGTTTTGAGAATCGGCACCGTAATCCCGACGGAGCACTTGAACCCGCTCATGATCGGATCGAGCGGTACCGGCCCGATCACGTAATAAGCGTCGTCGAAAGTCAAGTTAAGGTCGCAGAAAAACCAGTTCTTAGGTTTAGGACTGATTAAGGTGGAATTACAGCCGTAGAAAATGGTGACGTCCATGTCGTCGTCCTCATCGTAGCTGAAGAACACGGACTCGAGGGTCGAGTTCGCGAGTTTGTCGGTGCAGGTCGAGTTCCAGAGGTCGGAGCGGGCGAGGGTGAGGTTCTGTTGAACCGGGTCGAGTTTGAGAACCCGGTAGCTCAGCGACGCGATGGTCAACTCGGGCGAGTCATCGGTGCAGCTGAGGTGGAACTCCGGCGGGCCGCAGTAGGAGGGGCGGCTCCCGCCGGTGAAGGGGTAGGTGAGGTTCCGGAAGGGCCCGCAGTCGAAGGTTTGGGTGCAGTTGGAGAGGTCGGCATCGGCGGGGAATGACGTCGTAACGTCGACGGAGCAGAAGAAAAAGAAAAGGAAGAGGAGGAAGAGGAGTGGGAGCATTGCGGGAAGGGGGAATGAAACGACAGCGGGGCAGACGAGGCGGGAAGTGATGAAATCTAACAAGAGTGGAGGTTTTGTGATGACGTGGTGGGCTGTGGTTTGTTGACTTGGAACTGTTGGACTTTTATGTGGGGGTAGCGGATTGCACGCCGCTTTTGAATAGTTTTCGGGGCTGCTAGTTGACGTCGGTATTAATACGTGGTGTTATTCTTCATTCATACGTGTGAGAGGTATTATATTTGACTTTTGTGAAAAATAAAATTAAATCATATTATTATAACAAGTTTATTATAAAGTTTAGCCTATTCTTTATCATTTTAGTATAGATATTATCGTTTGTTAAAAAAAAAAAAGTTAATATTTGTATGGTATAGAATTATATTTGTTCAATAATTGATGGGCATTTTGATAATTTAGAAACTATTTTAGTGTTATTTGTCCTTTAAATTCTATAATTCTTGTTATGTATTTGTGAATTAGTATGACTCTTGGTTAACTATTAAAAGGTTTGAGTCAAGCAATGTGGATGAAACCCAAGTGGATTAAAAGAATGTCATACAATCTTTAGACTTGATTTTCTAGGTAGAAGACTTCTACTACCTACGTATCTGCGATGAGATTTTCATACTTATTTTAATCGTGTGTTGTTTGTTTTTAGTTTTTAAATTGAATAGCAAGTGATAAATTGTTCTGGTAGTTAGGATTTTTATATTCAACTTATTGGGTTTTGTGTTGAAATTCTTTTTTTTTCTTTAGTGTAGATTAGTGTAAAATATTGCTTATACTAAAAAAAATCAGATTTTTTCTTTCTATCTCAATTTACTGTCCCGAAGCTTCTTGGCTTTCAACATTTCATATATCAAATTTTTTCATAGAATTATAGCTTAAGGTACTAAACTAGGACGAAAAAACTTAATGTATGAAATGTTGAAAATTAAGAAATATCAGAACAATAAACTGAGTTAGTCCTAATTAAATGAAAAAATAATACTTAAACAAAGAGTATATCATCTATATCCAAGTAAAAAGAGGTGTGCTGAAGATTTTTCCTAAAAGTGAACGAGTGCGCACATGAAGCCATGTTTGATTGACCAAGTATAGGAATTGTTAAAGCATATTAGGTCATTAAAAAAGGACAACTCCATCAAGAGTTTGATGAAATGGACCTACCTTTTAATAGTTGGAAAAGGATCCGGAGGATCCTTTTCCAGACCGAACATCTTGTAATCATGTCCGTTCATCGTAAATCGTGCGGTTAAAAATTATTTAAAATTTAAAATTTAAAAGTAAATATAAATAATACCCAACAAAAACTGACCGCATAATATACAATGAACGAATATAATTATACCGTGAAAATGATCCTGACCGGATCCTTTTCCTTAATAGTTTAATGCATTAAACATGTGGGATGATGTGATGCATGTGCTTTTTTCAACAAACATCAAAACATCGAAGAAATTTTCCCTGAACTGTACCTAGCTAAGAAATTTGACCCAAAATTAAATTAAAAAAAGTTGTACCTAAGAAATTTTTGGCAGAAGTGTTTGCAACTGAATTACACTCAAACGATCTTCAAATGCAAAGCAAGCAAATGTTCTTAAATTTTAATTTCAACATTAGAATTTGTTTAGACTTTTTTTTTGGTCGATTTATTTAGACATCTAGTACGAGGAACTTGGCAGCTTTCCAAAATAATTGTTAGATGACAAGAAAAGAGAATTAACTGTGCGAATTATGTTGTTTATATTAGGAGATATCTACTTTAAATCCAGAGAAATGCAAAAGAAACTCTCTCAAAAGTGAGATTCTTTATAAACTCTCCGCGACCTCCTAGTTTAACGTAAATTTTCGTGCTAATATTAATAAAATATTTTGGCAAAAACATGAGGTGATAGAGAGTTCATGAAAAGTCTCAATTTTGAGAAAATCTCCTTAATATTTCTCTTAAATCTATCCTCGACACATACCCCAAAAATAGTATAATGCATTCTCTTGATTAATGGATGCAAATTATATCACATGATCACAATTCTTGTGTTAATATTGTTGAGAAACTAACACGTTATCAAATACAAAAATAGTTTTTTAATAGCAATATATGTCAACATTCTGCCAAGGTTATTTGCATTGGCCTAAAAATGCACCTACATATGACACACATGTGATGTGAGTGAGTTGGTTTTGTTTTGGCATGGAAATGGCCACCCTAAACGGAGATTGGAATCTAGAAGCATAATTTGGAAAAGCTTTTATTAAGAAGTCAGGAAAAAGAGGGCACCCACCCAACTTGAAGTTTCCCATCGAATGCCACATGGCTTTTGTCATGGTCATGGTAATGTGAAAGAAAATGGATGGGATTGTGAGAGCCCACTATAAGAGTGAGAAAGTTATTTGGTAGTGAGCATGGTTATAGCACTAGTTTAAGAACAAAGAGTGAGAGCAACCACTTAGTACTACGATCTAGTTGTATTTTTCTTCACTTATAAGTGAGATATCTTAAATTCGATTCTCACCAAAGGCGAATTTAAACCACATTATTGCTAGCACATTGTGAGGCTAAGCCCACTCTCTCCCCCTTAGTATACATAATATCATTTGTTCAAAAGAAAAAAAAATCACAAAGAATGGGAGCAAACTTAGAAGAATGCACAAGGAGAAAATGGTGTGCTGAAATTCCTTTCTTTCTAGAGAAAAAGGTCGTACCCAGTGCACAAGGCTCCCGCTTTACGCAGGGTCTGGGAGAGGTGAATGTCGGCTAGCCTTACCCCCATTTATGGAGAGGCTGCTCCCAAGTCTCGAACCCGAGACCTACCGCTCATGGGCGAAGGCACTTGCCATCGCACCAAGTGCGACCTCCCTTTCTTTCTAGAGAATAAGATAAAATTTTAAAAAGTAGTTTAAGAACAGAGAATAGGAGAAAATTTAGCATAGCACAAAGTTAGATCACTAGTTTAGGAAAAGATGAAAGTTAAGAAGAGCGCATAGTTAGATCACTAATTTAAAAACAGAGAATTGGCGCACGAGCACATAATGTGTGTTACATGCTCTTAAAGTTCGTCTCTTCTATTAATTCCGTATAGATTACTTCCACATTCCACCATCCTTCCTCCGCCCTCTTTCATCTATCATTTCTCTCATGCATTTTCCTAAGTCTCTAACAAAAAACAAATGAATACGTGCTAAAGCCTAAAATAAATGGATATAAAACCATCCTAAATTGGTAATTTAAATTTTCTTAGCTATCTAAGAAAATCCTGCTTGACAATTTATGCACTTCAAATTCTAATTTCATATCCGTGCACTCTATTAACTTGTTAGAGTAGAATATGTACTTGTTCTAACAAATGTAGATGGTTCTCTAATTTGAGGCAGCGCATTGGTTGCTGAGGAAGCCTTGCCATAGTACAAAGTACTAAAATTGGAGGACAAAAACTAAAAAGGGGCGTCAATCTAACCCTTCAAACACCAGCGTATTGTCTAAGACCCAGATTGTTGAGTGCATCAATCCTGGTCAGGAATCTAAAGTTTATTCCGCATATTGCTAATTGGTTTTGGATTGGACCGATAGTCTAATTCTATCATAAACGTAGTGGAAAGATGTTTAGGCGCATACCTTCACAGTTTGAGGGAGTATGTCCATCCTTACAGAAGCAGGTGAATTCAGCTGAAGATATATTGTACCCGCACTGACCCCCTGACCCTCGACATTGGTCACACAAGGTATTACTTGCATCCCACTTCAACCCAAACCCGGAATCAAGTGCAGCAACCAGATTATCCTTGGACGAATTCAACACCAGATTTGCAGCTGCAGATTGAGAAATGCTGGCAGTGACGGTCGTTTTGCAGTTACCACTAATATTCGGCAACCCTAAATTTGTGACAACGTAATTAATGGAAGTGGCAGTACTGTTTATGCTGCAACTGAACTGACTTGTGGGCTGAATTGGAAGAGGAATGTTGAGCGGGGGACAGTCGTAGAACAGCAGTACTTCTTGAACATCCGAAGTATTTTCGACACGGCTTGATTTTATGGTTGTATTGGCAAGTGACACCGGACAAACGTTGTTCCAAAAGTCCGTTCTAGCAACCCGTAGAGTACTTGTAGATTGATTTATATCGAGGACTCGGTAATCTTGGCCGTCAAATGAGATCACGGGAGCATCTCCGCTGCAGTTGAGCTTGAAATCGGGGTAGCCACAATAATCTGGCGGCTTGATCCCCAAAAAGGGTAATGAACATCCCGAAAATTTACGCATTGGAACGATGCGCTACAGTTGAGGTATCGATCGTCATCCGCAGCCGAAGATTTTCGGACATGAAAAAGGCATATGGTAGTTGTGATCACAAGGAGTAAAGATATGTTCTGGAAGGGATAGAGATGTATTTCCATGGAGAGAGAGAGAGAGAGAGAGAGGGTACTATTGAAAGTCGTTGAAAAAAAAGGAGAAGATGAATGTGGAATCATCGTCATCTGCAAAGGACGAGTGAGAAGACAAAAGGGGGGGGGGGGGGGAAGTGACGAAGTAAACGTTAGGTTAAATCTTTGTTATTTTATTTTATTTTTTTAATATTAAAAAAGAGAAGGTTCAATTTGGAACTTTAATTTAATTAGGAGTGCTTATAGTTAGTGGAAGTCTTTGGTGGCCAAGTCCGTGACTAATTTTATGCTCAACTTTGCGTAGTGGCCTCGTCAGGAAATAGGTATTGGTTGTCGAACAGATGAGCCGCCTTAATAGAAAAATTGGCTTAATTTAGGATTTTTGTATACCTAATCCCTCTGCACTTAGATGACAATCATCAAAGTCAACAAAGGCCGACTCACGTTTCCGGGAGAGTTGTATAGCTGTATGGTAGGTTAGGTGTAATTTTCGATGGAACTAAAGCGTTTGACTCGTAAAGAAATTTTTATTTGATCGCTTGTAATATGTAAAACTGAAATTTAGAAGAAAAATTTTTCCGTGTGGGAAGAGCAACAAAATTGGTTCACTGGAATGGCACCAACAAGGGATGAAAATGACCTGAACATGAACAATCTTTAGAGTTTTAGGGTTGGCTCGAGCAGCTTTTGCGAGGAATATAAGGAGTTGTTCGTGATAATTGGTTTGCCAAACCCAACAAATTGAATCCAACATGGATACCAAACAAATCCATCAATTGTTTGCTGTTTTTGCAAACAATTGGCTCTAACTGTACTAGGTTCCTTCCCTCTGCTTGCATTCGAATTTTCGACCTGGGTTTTCTAGCACAAGCCTAATTAAACACAGTTTACGGCTAATCATCTAAAACAAAGACTTCGATAGCTAGCTAGGAGTTCCTAATGTGTAATTTACTAGAGAATGACAAGGGACAGACGTACCTCCGCTTCCGCTTCCGCCTCCGCCTCCGCCTCCGCCTCCAGGTTGAGATGAATTACTAGTTCCATTACATATGGTTGCATAGGCCTGATCTCGGCAAAAGCAGCTGAATCCAGAATTAGTATTAAGCCCACACCGTCCTCCTGATTCCTCACATTTGTTGCATTGATCGGTGTCAATCTGCAATTCCAATGGGAAGCCCCCTTTTACCGCATCGCTGACGGTTGTTTGACTGGCCACAAAAGCCTGAGCAGCTGCTGTATAAACCGGAACAATAACCTCATCTCTACAGCCGCCAGAAGATATCTGCTCAACCATCCAACTTGGCACAGAGAAAACAGGGCTCAATGTATTGCTTATGTTGCACTGCGTGCTAGGAAGCCCTATGTTGTTGACATTGCATTGGTAGTAAAACGTCATGTTTGTATAACCAGAGCCATAATCAAACAGAGAGAAGTTGAGGGTGGTGTTGACGAAAGTCGGAGGACAGATAGTACCCCAGTAATCCTGCCTAGCAACCTTAACAGTCCGAGGAGTAGTAGTAGAATTCATTTCAAGAATTCTAAAGCTCAGACCTCTTACGTTGATGACAGGGACTTCGTTTAGACATTGGACCTCGTACCCTGGCTGACCACAGTAACTAGCTCGGTTTACCCCATAAAAGGGGTAGGAGATGTTTTCGATGCCACCACAATTGATAGCGCTGCTGCAGTTTGTGAATTGTGCCTCATCCTGGCATAGACTTAACTCAACGTTGATCGAAAGGAAGGAAGCGATCAAAAGAAATGGAAACAACGATTGGAGCAGAAAGGAATGCATGATGGACGTTGGAGGAAAAACCTCAGCAAAGAGACTGGAGCGTCAAATGAAATGGGGATGTAGTACAACGAATAAGAGTCAGATTTCTTGTTTTGTTTTAATATACAAGTTGTTCCTACTTCCAAGTTTTGAAATATAGGCCCTTTGACATATTCAATGAGACAGCGGCCTCCCTCTCTTGTTTGTGCTATGTTTTTTTCACTTTTCTTTTTTCATCATTCATATTTGAATTTCTTGCCCACCGGCAATCCGAAGAAGCCACGTACTAATTTAATATTTATTTCCATCTAAAATGATTTAATTAGATGTCGCTCGGTTTGTGTTGTCTACGCGTTAGACTTGAAAATTCATCACACGTGAGGAGGCGTGTTGAGAATAAATCTCACATTGATGAGAAGAGGAACCTTACATGTGCTTATAAGAAGTTGGGTTATTCCTCATATTCCAATTGTTTTTACGATAAAATCTCAACTTTCTTTGTGGTATCATAGCAGGTTGGTCCACATGTAAAGTCAACGGTCACATGTGCTCCATGTCATCCCATTTGTGTTGTCCACATGAGTGTTGAGAAAAAAAGTCTCATATTGATGATAGGAGGCAACCTTGTATGTACTTATAAGAAGTTGAGCAACTTTCATGTTGCCAATTGATTATATATATATATATAGTTCCAGAAGCTATGTGCCAAAGTCAAGGGATGATGGAACCAATGAAAAATAATAAAGATAAGATTCCTCAAATTGTTGGTTGATGAGGACCGGATTCTCTTTCTGGGTATTCTAAATATTCTCACATTTTAACCGTTTATCGTATATTGTCCGGTTAATTTTTATTAGATATCATTTGTGTTTAATTTAAGTAAAAAAATTCAAAATGATTTCTAAGATGGTTAAGATGTGAAATTCCTAAGATATTCACCTACAATTTGAATCCGGATAGGATCTAATCCGGTTTGAGAGGGATAACAACCCCAGAAAAAGACGGGGAATTATTCAAAATATTAAATTCATTACTCTGGTACTCATTCAAATGGGGAGGACAACAGTCCAGCTACCTTGTTATATGTAAGTAGCACAAGTGAGCTTCATAACGCTGGCTAAAGGGTTTTGTTTAGGAACTTAGATATTGGCGTGACTTGAGGGGGAAGGATTTTCTCTCCTCCTAATCTCTCTCTCCTCTGCCTCTTCTCCTACTTGAATGGTTACGGTTAAACCACGTTAATACAATAAGACAAAAAACAATGTGTGAGAGAATGAGAGGAAATGGGATGAAAAAAGAAGGGGAGATAATTATACTCCTGAGTTGAGACTTCTCTACATGCTGACTCAAGCTATGTTTGTAAGAAGTTACGTGCTTTGTTTCGGTACTATTGGCTTGAGTCAGTATGGGCATGAATCTGATAGTAGAGCTTTTTACACATACATATATATATATATGCGCAATATTCTACACTAATTTGCATTAAAGGGAAGTGAGAGGGCTTGAATATAGGATGCAGTGAGTTGAAGAAAATGCCATAACTACTAGAGTAATCTACCACTAATAAAACCCATATTTGTATATTTGACTATGTATAATTAGATTTAAAATTTTAAAATGAAACAATTATCAAACGGTTCTTAAAACTCTTAAAAATTTTCAATAGTTCCTATTAAAATATATTGCCAAAACACTTCACGATTAAGACTTGATCCTTCCAACTTGAACTAGCTTCATTATAATTTGTAAGGGGCAAGCCATCAAACTTGGACAAATTTAAGCATTAATTTAACCACTAAAGTATATGTCCCCCTAATTGTTATGGAAGCTTAACATTAATCATCTGCCTAGCTATATTTTGGTCCGTCCATAATCTGTCTTTTGTTGCAGTCATATTAGATTAGGAATGTAATAGTATAAATCTATCATATATGTGATATCTCTAAGAATACATATTATCTTATTAGAGTTATAATCATATTTGGGATAAAGAATTTACCTTCCATACTACTATAAATAAAAGCACAATGAGGTGAAATAACACACATCTCTCTCTTTCTCTCTAGTGCTATTTCATTTGTTTTCAAATATCTTGTTAGTTGATGGTCACATTGCTAACCATTTCTCGAACACAAATTACCCCTTCCGCGTAAGAGACTAAAATATTCTTGAAATTCAAAGGACTGAAGTATTCCTAAAAAATTATGCAGTCTCCCAAAAATTAGTACTTTCAACACTCGGTTGAGGGTACTGAACTCTCATGGCAACTCTCTAAGGCTCCTACGTCAGTTAGCTGTTCAAGCAATTCCTAACCATATATGCTCCCATTCCCTCGATTTGGCATATGTTTAATGGAGTCACATAATCCATAGACAAAAAAAATAATGCAGGTGGTTATTGTACTAATGAATGTTTACCTACTTCGAATAGAGGAAGTTCGGAATAGGAAGAGAAGATGAGGTAGGATCATCTACCTTCGCCTGATCAATGTAATTCTTGATTTTCAGGTATTGAATTGCGAACTGTAACGTGGAACTCACATTTTTTTTTTTATTGTATGTGTTGATAAACACGTACGGAAGTCATGAATCAGAATAAGTTCAATCCGATTCTATGCAAGTAATATAAGTCCAAAAATGATCGATCGCAATACCAAAAGAGAAAAGTTGATGTAAGGAACCCAGGTGGCAAAGTTTTTTAGCCTACTGATATTTTCTTTCCCTCTAATTATAGTGTGAGTTAGGGATTCAAGTTATTAATTAGAACCAAATTCAGCTTGAAATGCAAAACCAAGCATAGCTAATTGGGTTGTTAGTTCATACCTTTAGCTGGTGGTGGCACTGCTGCTGGATTGTCAATGGCCTCTGCTGTGGCGGCGGAACAAGTCCGGGACTCAGAAGCTTGATTTGCGCAATGACAAACAGTTTCATTCAAATTCCAATCATAGCCACAAACACCCTTTGAACTAACACACTCACCACATTTTTCACTATCCACCTTATACTTCACCTCAAACCCTTCCCTCACTACAACTTCAAGCGCCGTCGCGTTCTGTATACCCAAGATTCTGAAAAACGCTGCATCACTAATCCGAACAACCACTTTTGACTTGCACATCGGAGATTCCGGGACATCTGCAGGTATAGCGGCCACATCCTCATATGCTTCATCGTCGGGGCAGCTGAAATCTTCAGCTTTTGAGCTAGAAGTACAATCATAGAGTAAAGTGACGTCCGAAGACCCAACAACGTAGTCAAAAAGTTTGGAATTGAGTTTGGTATCCCCAAACTTCGGCGAACAAACTTTGTCACAGTAGTCATCTCTTACAATTTTGAGTGTCTGGTCACCTTGGTTAATCTTCAGCAATCTGTATTTGACCCCCATAATCTCAATGGCGGTAACATCGTTCGAGCATGTTAGCTTCAGTTCCGGATAGCCGCAACTCTCCGGCCTTCCATCTCCCCAAAAGGGAAATCCCACTTCTGTGATGTCTCCACAATTAAACGCGTTACTACAATATGTGTACGAATCGAAGCTTGAGGACAAAGGAAAGTTGATGAAAACGAAGAAGGCGAAATGGGATGAGAAGAAAAACCAGGAATTCATATTTTGGGAAAGTGGAAGTATTTGGTAGAAATGAAATGAATTAAGTTGGTTGTAGTGGTTGGAGTTGGAGTGACACTGGGCAAAGGGAAGGAACTAGAGTGAGAGAGAGGAGCTAGTGACGTTATGGAAAAGCTTATTCAAAGAAAGGGATGGGACAAATTATGAGTACTTGACGTTTTGTTCACTATTTGTTTATTTATTTTTATTACCTGCAATATTTTAAATAATTTATACTAAGAAAAAGAAAAATGTTTGAACTCGGAATATAGTACATTAAAAAAAATCCTTAAGTACTAAGGCATACCATCACTTGCATCTTTTAGTGTTTATACAAAATATGGGGAGTTAAGGATTTGGGTTAAGGTACATAATAGGTCATTTATAATTTGATACCGAACTCATTATTCAAAAAATTTAAACTTAATACATTTCGCCTACAAATAAAGAGGGAGAGAAGTGATAAACAAGCAAGGGAAGTGATAAACAAACACACGCACACAATTTCTAGTTTCTCACATACTCATGTTAAATCTTATTTATTTGTTTCAATTTGATTTATCTAATATAACAACCATTATTTAAGAGGAGTTTGTGACAAGATAAAGGGAATGTGTTAGAATCTCTCAAGAAAAATACCACTAAACTGTAGTAATAAGGTGAGAATATGGATTAAGACACAAAATGGAGAAACCACAATTTAGTATTGAACTAGCCATCTAATCTAATTTTTAACCTCCAACTTTTACGAAAAGATTTTCAATGTGCCGAAAATACGGAGTCGTACATTACAAGTCATCATATCATTTGAATAGATTTTTTTTATATCTCTTCAATTATATAATAACATGTGATGTACTACTTGTTTCATGAACACATTAAAAAATAAGATGTGTTATCCATACATCTCATTTTACTTCTCACACACCCTTGATAATTTATGTCTGTTGATCTTCTTCAATTCATTTGATCTGATCTGATGGTTGAAAATTAAAAAGATGTGTAAGAAGTAAAATAGAATGTGTAGATACCACACCCCTAAAAAATACTAAAGAAAAATAATACCACAGACTGTAGTCCTAATGCCTCATAAAATTTTGTTGACCTGATCAAAAGATTTTATTTAACGCAGATCTAGAATTTTCTTCTCCTCTGGCTCTACGGGTAATTGCTTTTGTTTGGAGTTATCTGCTACAAGTCAAGCCAAAAATTAGTTTACGTGTAAGGGCTTACCAACAAGAAAAGACATACAGATTTTAATGGCCTCAAAAACTAGATCGTGCCCGTTCATCTAACTCCCCACCTACCCATCACCTACGGTTTCGAAGGCTCTCTGTAAGGGTTGTTTACTTTTAATTAAGTAGTTGAAAAAGGGCCTAACAACCATAGTTTAGACAACCATGCTGTTGCACTAACAACCATAGTTCAACAGTTGCTACATTAAAGCCTTGTTTGATATCTAAAATTAAATTGAAACAGATGGACCGCTAAATTAAGGTAAAAATTATGTTAGCCTATAAACGTAGAAGATCAATTAATCATAAAAAAAACTTGAGTTTCAATCTTTTGATAATGTAGGATTACAAGGGATGAATTTCCTTCATAGCTAATCCTCTCTAATTCCTTCCTAATAAAAAGTATAGCTATAGTCTCATTTTTTTTTTTAATTATCTGAGTAGAAATTGCATTCAAAAAATCCATCCACAATGGAAATATATATAGGTCCAGAAGGGTGCCTCAAAAACATCTAGGAAATAGTCTGTCTCCGGTCACAAACATAAGGGGCATTACAGATATGCCGCATAAGCAAGCAGGATTGGCCAACCTCCACCACTGTCAGGAGCATACATCTAGCGTCCTTCAATCAGTGTCGTTGTAGCTTCATTTGTGAGGAAAGTATTCGAAGGCTGTGGTTGAGGATGAGAGACTGTGTTTTGGATAGTGAATAGAGGCTGCTTAGGTTGTGCACCACCAATTACAGTTGTGGAACCATTTAGCATAAAAACTACATCCTGCATGCTCGGCCTATCCATCGCATTGTCCTGTACACAAAGCAGCCCAATATGCACATATTTCATTACTTCTGAAGCCGAATATGATTCAGCCGCCAGCATTTCATCTACCAACTCCAATTCCCTGCCTTCCTTCCATAGCTGCCATGCATAGGCTAGTAAGCCTAGCTGTCGATCATAGATATAGAAGGCGGTATTCTTCTTGCTGTTGATAATCTCCAATACGAAGACCCCAAAGCTGTAGACATCAGATTTTTGAGAAAATATTCCACCCATGGCATACTCCGGAGACATATATCCACTGTGCGAACATGAAACTCATTAGTATATATGTAGCTGACATAAGTGTTTGGTTTCTTCCTTTTAAGAACAATGTTACCAAAAAATACTTATGTAATGTGATCGATGCAACTAATTAGCAGTTTTTATCCAAACAGGAGGAGTCGGTTAAGATTTCATGATGCAGTGCTAACCATTAGAACTTTTGGTTGCGAATGACATGTTCAACAATATATAGAAAGGCATGAATCTTACCGCGTTCCGGCAACTCTCTGAGTATTTTCTAAATTCTGTGTCCCTTCAACTGAACGTGCCAATCCAAAATCTGAAATTTTTGGGTTCATTTTCTCATCCAAAAGAATGTTGCTCACTTTTAGATCTCTATGTATTACCTTCAAATACGAATCGTGATGGAGATAAACAAGCCCTCTGGCAACACCTTGAATAATATTAAAACGTGTACCCCAATCAAGCACTACTCTTCTCGTCGAATCTGATCATCAAATAATCGATCAATCCACCGATTAGAATCTAAAGATAAGAAATTGCAGTAAAGTGCAATTGAAACTAACCGAAAAGAAAAGTATCCAAGCTTTTGTTTGGCATGAACTCATAAATCAGTAACTTCTCATCCTCTTTAACGCAGCAACCCATGATTCTGACCAGATTTTTGTGTTGGAGATTGGAGATCAATAACATTTCATTCTTGAACTCCACTACACCTTGCCCTGAGGTACTGGATAGTCTTTTTACTGCTATTTCCTTCCCTTCTGCTAGCTTACCCTACACAAAGTCGACAAATAAATCATTGCATTCATGTCTGTCTCTCTGTACCTATCATAAAAATAATAATAATTACCCAATAAACTGGACCAAAGCCTCCTTGCCCGAGTTTGTTTTCTATGCTGAAATTGTCCGTAGCAACTAATATGCTATCAAAATCATAGATCATTAACTCAGACAGATCATGTTTTCCACCTATATATTCTTGAAGGGTGTCCCTTGTTATTTTGATGTGTTTCCTTGTTAATTTGATGTGTCCTGATTTTGCAAATATACACAGCGAACACTGAATCAAAGCAAAACAACTTACAAAGTTTTGAGAGATAATCTGCTAATGCATTATATTAATCCAACACCTCGATCTCTTTCACTTAATTACCTTTTTGCTTAGCTCTCATCCTGCAGAAACCGAACACTATGGCACCCAATACACCGATAAAACAAACAACCGTAAGGCTCGCAATTAACTTTATTGGCTTTCCTTTACCTGTAAAATTTACAATACAAAAACAAGCATGAAATATATAGGAAAAGAAAAGTTACTGCTTGATAAATAGAGTTGTCCAAGGCTTCAAGCACTTTTGAACCAAAAAAAAAAAGGCATCAAGCACTAGTATCATTAGTTCATCTGCTAGTTCTGTGCATGTTTGGTGAATATAAACATCTACGCCATCAGAGGGAAACTCCTGCATATGAGTGAGGTGTTTGGACCAGATTAAGCACCCTATTTTATAAACAAGTGCATACACTTTGTAAGAACAATTATTTAGGCGCACTGTCTTGCAGTCGGCGGATGTGCTGTCAGAATCCAAAGACACAAACTCATGAGAATCTGGTACTTTGAACCCTACCAGCTTCAGAAACCCATCATCATCTTCTTTTCCTCTCAATGTGAATGACATATTTGTGTATCTTGTTAGACGAAGTCAACCTCAGGATAATTCTATCGTGCATTGAGGAGTCCAGCGTTCTTTCAGACGTTGTTTCGGTTTTGAACTCCTCACTGATTAGGTTTCCTTGTTTCTAGGATGTATATCTGTAATCTTGTAATCCCTAGTTTTCTGTTATGGATTCCTTGACGTTTTGAAACTCCTTGTAAATAGGGTTTTCCAACCCTCAGTTGTTATTATAAATACAGGCAACCCATAGTTGAATGGGTATGCAAACAAAGTGAAATACCTCTGATCTTAAGTTTTATATGGTCTCTAGAGCCTTTTTTGTCTAACGACAAAGATCTTAGTCCTGTTAGCTTTTCCAACACCGCTTCCATGGCTGAAAATAATGTTCCCGTTGTTCCTGTGGTTCACCCTAATCCCCAACCTCCTACCTTCCAGCCATTCTCCACGGTCGTCAATATCAAATTAGATAGGACCAACTACCCACTGTGGTTGGCACAAATTCTCCCTATTCTGAAAAGTAGGGATCTGATGGGCTACGTTGATGGCACGGTGCTATGCCCTGCGAAACATGTTGATGGTTCGGCTACTGTCAATCCTGCGTACACAACTTGGGTGCAGCAGGATCAAATGATTCTTAGCTGGATTAATGGCTCTCTCACTGCTTTTGTCTTGTCTGTGGTGGCAAGCAAACGAACGGCTCGAGCTACCTGGGAAGCTCTTGAGCAAAGGTATGCATCCACGTCTCAAAATCGAATTTTGTTTCTGAGAAATGCATTGTTGCAGACAAAAAAAGGTGATCTATCTGTGGCGGATTACCTGGATCGAATGAATGCTCTCGCTGACAATCTTGCCCTAGCTGGGCAACCTGTGAGTGACGACGAACTGGTTCAGATTGTGTTGAACAATCTTGGGCCCGCGTTCGAGATGACTGTGAGTGCTGCACAAGCTCGTGACACTCCTATCACTTATCAAACTCTTGAGTCCTTGCTGCTGATTACGGAGAGGCGACTGGCCGAACACACCGTTCATTCGGTTGAATGCACTGCTGTCAATGCCTTTGTGACTTCACGTGGACGTGGTGGTGGACGTTCTCGTGGTGGAGGACGCGGCAACTCCTCCAACCGTGGTGCTGCTCCGCGCGGAAATAACCCTCGCAACAACAATGCTCCGCAGCACAACCAAGGTAATGGAGACAAGTTTGTTTCTTGTGGAGACCGAATCGTGTGTCAAATCTGTGGTAAACCAGGCCATCCTGCTCTTGACTGCTACCAACGCATGAACACTGCATTCGAAGGCCGCATACCAGCGACACGTCTTTCCGCAATGACGTCCTCACCTATCACAATGAACAAACAACAGAATGGCTCTTGGCTCCTTGACACTGGTGCCAATGCCCACATCACTCCTGATCTTCAGAACTTGATCAATCCCAAAACATACAATGGTAATGAAGGCGTGGGGGGTGTAGGTAATAATGCAGGTATCTCGATTGCACACTATGGTTCAAATAACCTTGAAACTAATGCTTGTTCTTTTGTTCTACGTGATGTCCTTCACTATCCAAATGCATCCACTAATATACTATCTGCCCATAAGTTTACCCTAGATAATGACTGTTACCTACTCATCTTTCCCCATTTTTTTCTTGTCAAGGACCTAAAGACACGGAAGACGCTTTTCCGGGGGAGATGTGAGAATGGGTTGTACCCATTTTCAGATGGCAGTGGACATTTCAAGCATTCTGTATCTGCTTGTGTGGGCGTCCGGGCTTCGACACAACAGTGGCATGCTCGTCTTGGTCACCCTGCCACACCAATCATTAAATTTTTAGTTTCCAATAAAATGGTACCTCTTCATGGTGCCTGTGATGTAACCTTTTGTGAGTCCTGCCCTCTCGGTAAAAGCACTAGGTTACCTTTCAATATTTCCGAGTCTATGTCTGAATTTCCATTGCAACTTTTACATTCTAATGTGTGGTGTTCTCCAGTTATTTCTAATGAAGGTTTTCGTTATTATGTTTTGTTTGTTGATGATTTTTCGCGATATTCTTGGATTTTTCCCATGAAACAAAAATCTGAAGTGTTTGAAATTTTTGTCAAGTTTAAAGCCAAAGTTGAAAATATGTTTAACTGCAAAATAAAACTTTTCAATGTGATGAAGGTGGTGAATACAAAAGCCATGCGTTCACACAATTTCTTGCTGCTCATGGTATTTCACAACGATTTTCGTGCCCTAAACATCCTGAACAAAATGGTTTAGCAGAACGCAAACATCGTCACATTGTTGAAACTGCCATTGTCATGCTTTCCAAATCTTTCATGCCACATAAGTATTGGGTTGATGCTTGTTTAACTGCTACTTATTTAATCAATCGCTTGCCAACGCGTGTGCTTTCAAACACTTCACCATTTGAGAAATTTTTTCAGAAGAAACCAACTTATGACATGTTGAAGGTTTTTGGGTGTCGTTGTTTTCCTTGGTTAACACCATACAATCAACATAAACTGCAACCTAAATCTACCCCATGTGTTTTTCTCGGGTACTCACTCAATCATCAAGGATACAAATGCTTGGATCTGTCCACGAGACGGGTTTATGTGTCTCGCCATGTCCTATTCAATGAGGACTTCTTCCCTTTTAAGGGACTCACATCTTCTTCGGCAAGTGTTGATCTTCCAGGTAACCATTCTGAACCCCCGTTATTTTTTACTTTTCCTTGTCCTAGTAACCCTACGCTATCTGCTTCGCCTAATCCTAGCCCAACTATTTCTGGCTCTATCCCACACGTCACAACCTCCGTCCCATGTTCCGACTCCCCTCATGCTACCACCAGTCCCGAACTTCCCACCACTGTGCCAAATCCAACCTTGTCCCCTGTTGAACCTAGTCGGCCTTTAGAACCCACCCTTCCATCCAATGAGCAAGTATTAGTGGATTCTCGACCTGTGCATGTTGATGAGCCTCGTGATACGGGTCATTCCATGACTACTCGTTTCAAGTCAGGGGTTATCAAACCTAACCCTAAGTATGCTATGCATGTTGCTGTTGATTCTGTTTCTGTTGAACCTACTTGTTACAGTCAGGTTGTTAAGCATGCGGAATGGCACCATGCAATGGTCCAAGAGTTCAATGCTTTACAACGGTGTGGGATGTGGACTTTAGTTCCTTCTCATCATACCATGAATGTGCTTCCAAATAAGTGGGTGTTTAAGATTAAACGACGAGCCGATGGTACTATAGAGCGTCACAAAGCTCGGTTAGTAGCCAACGGATTTCACCAGAAAGCTGGAGTGGATTATAATGAGACGTTCAGCCCTGTTGTTAAGCACACCACCATTCAGCTTGTGTTGAGTCTTGCCGTGTCCAAGAAATGGCCTGTGCGCCAACTCGACGTGCAAAATGCGTTTTTGCATGGCTATTTAACTGAAGATGTGTTCATGCGCCAACCATCGGGTTTCATTGATCAGCAGTTTCCAAACCATGTCTGTAAGTTGCAACGTTCCCTTTATGGTTTGAAACAAGCGCCTAGGGCTTGGTTTCAACGGTTTTCAGACTTCTTACTTCAACTCGGTTTTGAAGAATCCACCTGTGACTACAGTTTGTTTGTCTACAATAAACGAGGTGTCTATCTTATTCTGTTAGTCTATGTCGATGACATTTTGATTACCGAAAATAGTTCTACTCAAATGGCCCATTTGATCAAGAAACTTGGCAGTTTGTTTTCAATGAAGGACTTGGGGCCCTTGCATTATTTTCTGGGTGTTGAGGTACAATATATTGCTGATTCCATGCGTCTCAGTCAGTCTAAGTATGCCTTAGACTTACTAGCTAGGACAAAATTCACTGATGCCAAACCTATTTCTACTCCGGTGGTGACTGGTCAGAAATTAAGTGCCCATGTTGGTGATCCCCATGAGCATCCCGACTTATATCGTAGTGTCGTTGGTGCTCTACAGTACCTCACACTCACTCGACCTGATCTGTCGTATGCTGTAAATCAGGTGTGCCAGTTCATGCACTCACCAAAGAACACACATTGGGCCGCGGTTAAACGCATACTTCGTTACTTAAAGGCCACGTTTAATCATGGCTTAGTATATCGACCTGGTGATGCCCAGTTAACAGCTTACTCTGATGCAGATTATGCGGGTAACCCTGATACTCGTCATTCTACTGGAGGATTTTGTATATATTTGGGTTCAAATCTTGTTTCCTGGAGCTCGAAGAAGCAGAAGACTGTCTCAAGATCCAGTGCCGAGGCGGAGTATCGTCAATTGGCTTATACTGCTGCTGAGATCTCGTGGTTCCGGTCGTTATACCGCGATCTCCATTTGCCTATGGTTCGACCAGTTATATGGTGTGACAATGTCTCCTCGATTGCCCTTGCTTCCAATCCCGTTTTCCATTCCCGAACCAAGCATTTGGAAGTTGATTTTCATTATGTTTGTGAGAAAGTTGTTCGTGGGCAGCTTTTGGTTCATTATGTTTGTTCTCAGGACCAACTGGCTGACATTTTCACTAAAGGGTTATCTTCGTCAAGGTTTAAATTTCTGGTTTCCAAGCTTCCGGTTGTTTCCCCACCCGTCAG